TGACTCTCAGGAAGAGGGGAGACAAAGACCCTAATGACTCTCAGGAATGGGGACACAAATACCCCAATGACTCTCAAGAAGAGGGGAGACAAAGAGCCTAATGACCTTCATGGCAGTTCACTTTTCAAAAAAAAACGGAGCCACACACCAAAATGGAAATTGGAACCTCGCTTATTTTTTAAGTGATCATGCTCACAACATGCAAGGATGGACAGAAGGATGGATAGAGGGAGGGAGGAGAGATGAATTTCTTCCACTTTGCTCCAAAAAGGGGGACAAAGAGAAGCCTGATCTTGAAACAGTAATTAAGACCTACAATTGAAAAAACTATATATTTTTTCAAAATCCTGTATGTTATGATAAAAAAAAGTCTTAAAATTGTTATAATAAATCTTTCATTTGAAAAATAAAAGTTTAAATTCTGTTTCAGATCCACTCAAAAGCTTTTGAACTTGCACCCAAAACCACCAGGAGTGAGAACAACTGGAGTTAGAGGCCACGCCCCCTCCTCACCTGCGGGACCACTTGGCTGACGGTCGTCCAAAGGGTCTCTTCCACAGCACGCCGTGCAGCTGCACCTTGGTGCTGATGTCCAGAACGTCAGAGTCTGCCTGCTCCATGGACGACCACGGCGACAACAGAGAGTTTCTGGATGAAGAGGAAAACATCCTGACTAGACCCCCTCACCCTGGGAGGGGGGTCAGATTTTTAAAAAGCACCACGCAGTGAGTCAATAAGAAAAAGCCCAGAGGTGCTACTTCAATACCAGAGAAGAAAAATCCCAATAATTCATCAGGGTGGAATGATGCAGCTGCCAATACGCTCGTCTAATGGAGGCAGACTGACTGCCTCGCACAGGGAGGTGGAGGTGGGGGTGGTGGTGGGTGGGTGGGGGGTCAGCAGCTGCAGTGAGCTCCTATGTGAGGAAGGTCAATATCAGCTGGTAAAAGCTGTTCTTCACATTAATGCACTTAAAGCAGCAGACTCCAGCTCTCTGCAGGTATGATCTCTCTGCTCCATCCATCCATCCATCCCTCCATCTATCACTCCATCCATCCACCCCTCCATCTATCACTCAATCCATCCTTCCCTCCCTCCCTACATCCATACATCCCTCGTTCCCTTCCATCCAGCCCTCTCTCCCTCCATCCATCCATCCACCACTCCCTCCCTCCTGTTGGTACTCCGGCAGTGAATTAACGGAGCATCTGAGGTGAAGGCCGAGGCTGGAGGAGTTCTGGTAAACAGAATGGAGAGTGCTGCTCCAGTGGCAGATATCAGATGAATTTACAGCTCGGGTCAAAGTGTTCGTGCTGCAGATTATAAAGATAGTAACAGCTAATCCATCTAGTCCACATCCAGAGTGCTGAAATGCATCCTGCCTGCAGACGGTGTTCAGACTGAACAGACATCCTGACTCGGCTCCATTTGATTCATATCAAGATAAATACAAAAGTATTCACCCCTCTCTGTAATCTTTATGCTTTATTGCATTAAAACTTGGAACTTAAATGAATTTTAAATTTAAATTAAAACAATAATTCTACAAAAATGTTCAGATTAATTAAAATTAATGGGGAAAACTCTTTCTTTAAGGTTTTAAAATAGAAAACTGTTAAAAGGTGCAAGAATCAGCCTCTTTGCTTTGATGCCCCACGTTTTAAGATCCACCTTTGAGCAATCGATGAGTAAAATGATCTGAGCAGACACACAGAGAGATTTGTTAGTACATGTCTACAATAAGACAACCCCCCCCCCCACCCCCCGATATGGTTGGAACTAAAAAGCTCCAGTTTTCTCTCATCAGTTTGAAAATATTCTACCAAAACCCGCACAAACAATATGACAGATGGTGTGAGCCGAAAGTGTTGAACTTTGAAGTTTTGCTCAAATTATTTTAGATGGTTTACTTTGTTCTTTTTCTACGATTCATACTATCCTGAAAAACCCGGGGTCACATTTTTTCTTGCGTCCACATCCTGGAAGGTTGACTACAATCCCAAGTACCGGTACTCTCTACATTTTAATTAAAAAATTAAAAAGCAAAAATAACTGATCTGTCCAAACTATGTCAACATTTAAATAAACTAGATATTTATTTCACGTTTGTTGTTTACTCCACATATAAAAAAACTTGCATTAGACAATTACCATCAAGTAAATCATTTTTATACGAGAAATGAAGTGTTGTAACAGAGCCCTGGAAAGGGAACTACAAATGTATTTACATCTGTATTTCCATGATGAATGATAGAAGTCTTGATGGATGTCTGATGGATGGATATCTGATGGATGTCTGATGGATGGATATCTGATGGATGGATGTTTGATGGATGGATATCTGATGGATAGCTGATGGATGGATGTTTGATGGATGGATGTCTGATGGATGTCTAATGGATGTTTGATGGAAAGCTGATGGATGGATGTTTGATGGAAAGCTGATGGATGGATGTTTGATGGATATCTTGACGGATGTTTGATGGATAGCTAATGGATGGATGTCCAATGGATGGATGTTTGATGAATGGATGTCGGATGGATGTCTGATGGGTGACTGTTTGATGGATGGATGACTGACTGATGGATGACTGACTGATGGATGGATGACTGATGGATGGATGCCCGATGGATGGATGCAGTCCCCTCCAAAAGTATTAGAACAAGACAAATTCCTCTGTTTTTGTTGTTCATTGAAGACATTTGGGTTTAAGATCAAAAGATTCATCCATTCATTCAACCTTTATTTAAACCGGTTAATCCCACAGAGTTCAGAACGTCAGTTTTTATTTCCTGGTATTTACATGTAGGCGTGTTAAAACAACTCACGACATGTATGAACCCACCCATTTTCAAGTGTTCAAATCTGCTGGAACATGTGACTGACAGGTGTTGCCTTTAACGGTGATCCAACATTAAACGGCTCTGCACGACTGGTCTACTGTCTGGCCTGTGTTTAAACCTACGAGGTATTTCTTGTTTAAGATGATACACCACCATGAAGACCAGAGCAGTCAATGGGAGAGAAGCAAACCACCTGAAGCTGAGAACAGAAGGAAAAATCAATCGGAGCCATTGGACGAACATTGGGCGTAGCAAGCACGACTAGGAATGTCCTAAATAAGAAACCACTGGTGTACTGTGCAACAGATGTCCAACAGGTCGGCCAAGGTTCGGAAAACATCGACAGAAATATTGTGAGCGCTGTGAAGAGAAACCCTAAAACATCAGTGACATGACCAACGACCTCCACAGTGCAGGGGTGAAGGTATCACCATCCACTGCTCGAAGACTCGGAGCTGAAATATAGAGGCCACACCCAAAGATTCAGAACCAAGAATCAGAAGGCCAGACTGAAATTTACAAAGCACAGAGACGCCGCAAAGTTTTGGAACTCAATCTTTTGGACTGACGAGACCGAGATCAATCCCTACCAAAGAAAGAAAGGAACTGCTTGATCCGACGCACACAAGCTCATCTGTGAAGCACGGTGGACGCCATGTCGGGGCTTGGGCGTGCACGGCTGCTTCCGGAACAGGCTCGTTAATATTTACTGATGATGTAACTGATGGCGATAGCAGCAGAACGAACTCTGAGGTGTACGGAAACACTTCGTCTGCCCATTAACGGAGAAATGCATCCAAACTAATGGGGAGGAATTCTTTCATGCAGCAGGACAATGACCCAAAGCGTACTGCCAACAAAACAAGACCTCATCAGGGGAAAAGGTTTTGGACTGTCCAAGTCCGTCTCCTGACCTTTAACCAATAGAGAATGCGTCCGAGCTCCTGAAGGAGACTGAAGGGAGAAACCCCCGAAACAAGAACTGAAAGAAGCTGTGGGAAAAGTCTGGAACAGCGTCACAAAGGAAGAACGCAACAGTTCGATGTCACAGGCTTGAGGCCGTCATTGCAAACACGGGACATGCCACCAAACATTAATCACTTTAAGATCTTCTGCGCACCTCAGACTGCTGCGGTGTGATCCAACGGGTGGCATGTCCCGTGTTGCTGAACACGTCTACATGTGAATACCAGGAAATAAAAACAGACGTTCTGAACTCGTCTTTTGATCTTAAACCCAGACGTCTTCAGTGCACAACAACAAAAAACAAAGGCATCAGCCTTGTTGTTCCAATACTTTTGGATTTATGGACCAATGGTTTAAAGATAAATTAATTGATCGACAAATTGTCTTTTTATGTAGATGAACGTTTCTGTTCGTTGAGACTTGTGTTGAGACTTGGCGCTTTATAAAATGAACTGAGTGAATGCATGATGGATGGACGTCTTCTCACAGTTGAAGGGTCTACGATAAAAACTAGACCTCCATTTTTTGTTGGTGGAAAAACTGCTCAATGGGACTAACCTGCACAAATAAAGGCTGAATGAATGAATGAATGAATGAATGAATGGGCAGAGCATCACCTACTGCCTGAAAATGTGTTCTAGCAACAACCATGTGGGCTAATGCAGCCATGACCCACCACTTAAATTCCTCCACAGTTCATGAGATATTTTGCTAACACTACAGAGAAACGGGTAAAAACATCACTTCTGGTGGCGAGGGATGAATGACTGCCAACAAGCAGTCCTGGTGCTGGTGCTCCGCATGATCCAGCAGTCCCTGCACACCTAAACCTTATAAATGAAGTAAATTCAACATTTAGGTTCTGATCCAAACTGCTGGACAGATGCTGTGGAACACGTCCAACAGACGACGGTCCGTAACCAGGACCGGACGAGGCAGGATCCGTTTAACGAGAAGAAATGTTTCCCAGTTTGACCTTTTTATTATTGCTGTTTTTGAATAGTTTCAGGAATTAATTTTCTATAAAGTAAAAAGAAAGAAAAGAAGCCAAACAGTTGTCCTCCTGAGCTGATAGTCCCGAAAGGTTCTGATCCGCTTACGAGCTTCAGTCCCTCTGAAAGAAACCGCCACCTAAAACTGGTACTTACAGGTTTTTACACATTTCACATGAAAGAACAGAAGACGAGGGACAACCACCAGGTTCTGGGTTCTGTCCTTCCACAGAGCTCAGGATCTGCAGGACCGGACCGAGGTTCTGTCCTTCTGGTTTTACAGGAGCATGATGTGCGAGGAGGAGACTGGAGCATCTGGAAACATCTGGCCTCGTCCTCCTCAACCGTGGGCTGATACGGCACTTTGAGTCAGAGAAATGTACATTTAATTTAAAAATAAAAGTTGATTTTTACTGCATCACGAGCCGGATCAGAACCAAACCGGACTGCCGTCTAATCAAAGACAGGGAACAAAAACCAGAACGGGTTCTTGAACTTCAGACAAGCACGAGGAGGCGGCGCTAAGTAAACCCAGCAGCTGTGGTGGGACAGTGTCCTTCGGTCCTGCAGCTGCTGGACCGGGTCAGAACATTAAACAGCGTTGTGTCCCGTGGGTTCAGTTTGTTCCCTGTCGCACCAGCTGGTCCGTTTGGTCCACCAGCAGACAAACAAGATGTTGCAGGTCCTCCCTGTCCACCCGAGTCCACGGGCCTAATGGTGGTGACCAATGGACAGCACCAGGGGAATGAGGCAGCCCAGAACCAGAGCCCCCACCTCCACCTTGCTCAGTCCCTTCCCTCCATTCCCACCTGCAGGGTTGTGGCTGTGGCCGATGCCCCCCACCTCGGGGAGGACGTGGACGGTGGCCACGTAGAGGAAGGTGCCGGCCGAGAAGAGCATGGCCACGCCGGTGGCGTTGATGTTGGAGAGCGCCTCTTTGCTGCTCTGAGGGGGAACACAAACAAACCGTGAGAAGAAAAACACCAGCAGACAACATGGCCGCCGCTGCAGGACCACGCTCACACGCAGGAACTCACAGAGAACACGCGTTACGTTTCCAGAGGCGGCACGCCGATGTCCCCCGACTCTGAGGGACCTGAACAGTGAATGGTGGCAGTTTTGGAGACGAGTGTTTCTCAAACAGAGAATGAAGTAAACCTAAATGTTTTTAGTGCAACATATTAAAGTGTAGAACTGACGTTTTGTCCTCTTGTCCGAGGCAGAGCAACGTGACGGATCCTGGCGAGAGGAGGGAGACATTTTATCCTCCACCAGGAGCAGTGGAGGAGCCGGGGGGTGGACAATGGTGGCCCTGACCACCATAAATTAATCCTTGGCCACCCCAATCATTTGCAGGAACTGTACTTTTAACAATGTAAAAACTAGAAAACTTCCGGTCACATGATCAGGTGGCTGGTTTACATATATGTATATGGTGGTGGCCATCTTGGATTCTGACCTGGAGACCCAATTTTTTTTTAACCAACGTTTTTACGCACAGATGCAGTCACAAACCAAAACGTTATCCAACTCAGAAGGTTTCCTTATAAACAGAGTTTCTACCTAGATCCGTTCCCTTGGCGGGACGCTCATATTTTTTTTTTGTCAACGGGGGGTGGCGGGACGGGACGGAGTCACGTCTGTGTTGCCCACCTGCTAGCTTAGTGCTACGTTGCTGCCTGTTGGTTTTTAATCGACGGGGTGTGGATCACATCTGTGTTTAGTGCTACGTTGTTGTTGCTGGTAATTGTCGGGGGAGTGGGGGGGGGGGTAATTTTTCAGTACACAGGGCATTCAGTTCTGTTGACGGGTGGTGGCGCACCCCATTTGTATAACGGTAGGGGAAACACTGAAACATATGGTTGGTGGCAGCCATCTTTTTAATGTATATACGTGTGTGTACACGCACACAGTATATGGTGGTGGCCATTTTGGATTTTGACATGACAACCCAGTTTTTGGTAGCGACCTTTCTTGCTCCCAGGTGCAAACAGGAAGTCGCTGAGTCGCTTGTTTTTCAGGTTATCGGGCTCACAACATGGACAGACGAGCAGAGGCCATTTCCAACTCGCCTTCTTCAACTCATGAAGTGAAACAGAATTTAAATTTGGAAGAACTTCAGAGAGCAACATGTAGAAAAACCTACCGCGTACATTTTAAAACCATAAAAGCATTTTATCCAGCGTTTAAATCGTTTTATTTTGAACAGGTTCAGGGTTTGGCGCCGCCTTTCATGACTGTTATAAACTACAACGATCGGCTGAAGCAGCCGGACAGGAAGGAGGTTACACCGGGGTGTCCAGCGCGCGGCTCCAGGGCCATTCGGAGCCCTTGTAGTGATTTTGTGCGGCTCAGGACAGAAATTTAAGAATGGTGTAATTTTGACCCTGATGCAGACGTAGACCAGCAAAATTTAATGGTGATATTTGTTTTATAAAATTTATTGGTTTAACAGAAACAAGTGGGGAAAAAAAATTAAAATCTAAACGATCAATGTTAAAAACAGCACAAACCTTTGGCAAGAATTAATCCCATTTTTTTCCATTTCATGGTAAAGAGGACAAGAAACCTTTACTTTCTTGTAGATATTAATAAAACTTGGTAAATAGAATTACGGTTTTAAAAATAAAAGTTGATTTAATGATCCACGGAGGGAAATTGGACATTTTAAATGGAATATAAATCCAAGTTGATCCACTCCATCAGTTACCTGACTGAGGCCTAAGAACGTGATCATTGCCAGAACAGGAGCAGCCAAGGCGAAGACCAGCAGGTGTTTACGGATGCGGTTCCTCTCCAGACCGGCGTGCATCAGGAAGGAAACCAGTCCGAACGCAGCTGGAGCCTGCAGGCGACACAGCAGCAGAGCTCAGAGCCTTCAGGGACCTGATCAGAACCAGATGGGACTGCGTTTTCTTACCTTGTGCAGCATGATGGCTACAAAGACGATGAGCTGGACGCTGGTCTGAGACGTCGAGGCAGCAGCTCCCAGTGCCACGCCATCAGCTGGAGACGAGAAGATGACGGAGTTAAATACTCGTAATCCTTCCAAAAATGTTGGATTCTGTAAAAAAAACCTCCTGACAGGGAGTTCCCCTCACAGGAAGGAGTTCATGGACGAGGTCAGTCCAGACTGAGGACTTCCTGTCCTCACACAGATAGTTTGATTGGTCTGGATCGTTAAAAACCGCTCAGCTCATTCACAGAATTCATTTTTAAAGCAGAGAAATGTTCGTTCCTGTGAAATGACTGAACGCAGGCGGTTCCATCGCTGAACTGTTGGTGCGTGTTAAATTTAAACAGCTGACATTTGTTGAAAGCACAAGCAAACAGCTGAAAGAGTAGCTGAACAAAGTGGAAATTAGATGAAATAAGCTAAAAGTAACAGAAACGTGCAGGAATTAGAAAAAACAGAAAGATGAAAGGAATGTAAGAAGCATGATGTGGCAGAAAGAGACACAAAAAGCTGAAATTAGAATAAAGAAAGTGTTAGCTACAAAGACTTCTAGAAATAATCCTCTAACTTGGTACTTTATTTCTGTTTCTTAATGTAAAAAAATACAAAACTATTAATTTTAGCTCCTTGAAATGGGGAAACATCACAAACAACGATGAGTCCAGCTGCAGGCAGGAGGTGGAACACCTGGAGAGCTGGTGCAGGAAGAACAACCTTCACATCGATGTGAAGAAGACCACCTGCAACATGAAGGACCCCACTCACCCAGCACACACTTTTTGCCCTGTATAGTAGTATAAAAGATCCACAAATTAACGTTTTAAAAAATTAACTAAATATTTATTTAATGGTATTTTTCGAATGAAATACATTTTTTTATTCCGGTGTGTATTTTAGGAGGACCATCCACAAATTAACCTTTGAGTCGTCAACGGTCAAACGTGGATATTTCTTCATTATTTTGACATTTCACTTATAATAATGAGGATTATTATTTTAAAGTCCACTCGTGCACAGCACCAGTGTGCGTTTTGTTTTTTTTACTTTCACTGAACCACCAAGCTGCTGTGGTCCGGTTCATCCACCTGCGGCGCCGAGCGATTCTTAAGCCCGAGCGCACGTGGAGCTGTTTGTACCAAAAGTTTACTCGTGCACAACGCAGGTGTGTTTCTGCTCTTCATATGTCGGACGAGATGACAAACTGGCTTCAAGAGCAACATCTGTCCAGGTGAGTCCAGCAGCTGTCTGTGACCTTTACAGCCTCCCTCCAATAAAAATCCATCGTCTAGTGGGCTCATATATAAATCTGAAGTATAGAGATAGAAGTTAAAATAACACGAGTGAAAACGGTGCATTATTTATGAGGAGAAAATTAATTATAATAGATTTCAATCAAAACACTAGAGGGCAGTAATGAACAAATAAAGGTTCAAATAATAATGATGTTGCTGTGGAGCGTTTAAACAATTCTGTTAAAAAAATAAACATTTGAAGGATTTTTAGACTTTGTCAGGATGTGAAAAAAATAAAAATTTAAAAAGCGCGGTCCATTTTTTCCCCTGAGGGTTAAACAAAACTGTAGTTTAGATTTTGACTCCAATGACAAAAAATAAATGATAAAAATACAAATACTTCATGTTCTCAGCTCGTCTTGCCTTCAGAATGAGAGAAGTATTCGGAGCCAAAGAAAAGGTTCCCGGCGTTTCATAAAAACTAATTCCTGGAGAAATCCCAGCAGAGACTTCAGCCACATGAAACACTGAACTCTCAGGAGGCAGCAGAGTCACGTCAGAGACGACAGGTACCTGCAGGCAGCAATCACTCCTCATGACAATTAGACTGTAGAAGAGCAGAAACTAAGTAAGGACACGTGCACTCTGCACACTGTACAACAACGTGGACTCACTGATACTAGAACACCAGCATTAACACGTTAAATGACTTATTTTAATCTGGATCCCTGAGTTTTCCCAGTGAAAGTCATTTTACTGGTTTTTCCTGATTTCCAGCGATGCTGGGAACCATTTTGACGACATTAAATTAGACTCACCGGCAGCGTGGACCACAAGACCCAGAGTGGTGGTGATCTTAGAGCTGGCGGCTCTTGCCGACTCTGGATCTAAACCAGAAGAAACACAAGAGCAACAGTTTAGAAACAGGCTAATATTAAAACGTGGGACTAATAAGATGAATAAAAGTAAGAATTAAGAACAGCTTTTCTGTTCTGAGTAAAATCTACAGAGGCCCATGATGGCAGAGATTTAAGAAAATGTCTGACATGGTGAGCGTTGGATCTGGCTCTGAACCGGGCCAGAGCCTGCTCTTCACTGGAAGTGTTCAAAGAGCTCAAAGCCTCGGCTCTTCAGATGAGCTGAGACAAACGAGCCAACTCCCAGAAAACAACCAGTCCCATCACGAATGTGTCAAACCTTCAGCGTTGTGGACATGAGAACTGCCTATTTGGTCCACGAGCAGCATGAAGACGAAGCCCAGGACCAAAGAGATGCCGATGCAGGCATGGAGCTCCTCGTGGCTGTGCTCGTGTTTCCCAGTAGCATCAAGAGCTGCTTCTACTTCAGCCTTCGTCTCCGAGGCTTCCACGACTCCAACCTGACCAGGACTGTGGTGGTGTCCACCTGGACAAGAAAAACACGCATTAAAACAAAAGAGTCCATAAACTCTGCGTCAGCATAAACAACAAATCTTATAAGGATTAAGGGTGAAAAATAACTCTCTCAGGTTTGAAGTTAGAAGTTAAAGCAGGACTCCACTCTTCAGCTGAGGAGATCTTCACTTATTTTTAGGAATATTCTAGTGCTGGGCACGTCGTTAACGCAGACAGTGATCAACAGTGACAATTTTTTTAACGAATTAACACTGTGGGATTATTTTCTTAATTTTTAAGTCGGCTGCTCAGTGGCTGTGAAGCTGTGAACGCAGACACACACAGACAGTCACAGGGGTCAGGATGTTGATCACTACTGGCTATGGATGGGCAGCATCAGCGTCTCAACCAATGAGAGCCTTTGTTCTGTAGGGCTGCTGCCACGCAGCGCTCGCATGAACCCTATCAGAAACTGAGCAGCAGGACAGAAACATGGAGAAATGTGCTGGACTTTTCATGGCAGCGTGGAAGAAAAATAGACAAAAGCAAGGAACGCTAACAAATGCTATATGGAAGTGAATAGCTACTAATGGCAGGCCAATTAGCAGTGAGGAGATGCTGGTCTGTGTGACGTCTTTAGAACCTGCAGAGTAGAAAAGGTACAGTCGGAGGAATGTACAAGTTAATTTATTGTGTCATCATTACTCAGCCTGAATCACGAAAAGCTTTTTTCTATTTTTGACTGAGATTTTCCAAAGAAAATCCAGTGCAAACGGGTTCTAAAAAGACTAAAATCTCTCCTGCAGCCAATTCTGTTTTCTTACGATTCTTTTTGGGCTTGAGCACTTTACCGTTCTCCAAGAGGAACACTTGGAGAACGGTAACCAACACACTAACCGAACCGCGCACTCCCCCTGGACAGGTCTCCAGTCCATCACAGAGACAACCATTCACAGCTGCTGAATCAGCATTCAGTCGCTGCTTTACATTTTGGCCACAGCAGTCCCAACCCTGTCCTGAGCTGTGACATGTATAAAGTACACAAGATACACAACTTTCAAAGGGACTGAAAACAAGGTGCACCGGACACATGCATCATGCACATGTAATAAACCTTCGGCTCATTTTCTTTAAACCCTAGGTAGCTATAAAATAAGTTCATAAACGCTCTTGTCACTGGTGTAAAAATGAAATGTTAATGTGATGGTTTGTCTTTGTCATAAATGTAACGCTGACGGGTCAGAAGAGAAGTATGAAGTGGTGCTGAAGAAACTCGCAGCTGTTCTGGAGAACTCTACCTTCAAGGATTTCTTCATAAAGTGCGTGGACTCCTTCAGGAATGATGACAGCCAGTGCAGTCCCACAGAGCAGCCCTGCTCCCATCACAGTGACCAGCTTCAGCTTCTCCTGGACACAAACAACCAACATTCACTGTTTACACACACAACAGAGCAGGGCTTAGACAGTCTCCATGAGGGACGCACTTACCTCTGAGAAGTTCACGGCCAAAGGGATAGTCCCGGCAACATAGCACCCCACCAACATCGCCAAAGACAGCAGGCTGATCGAGCTAAAATCGTCCATTATTGCACTTTTCTCTTTGAACTAATGGACAGCAGCTGCAACACCATCAAACCCCAACCGCGCCTTCACGTTTGACACTGAACGTGGAGCTTGTCAGGTTAAACAGCATGCCCTGAAAGAGCTACTGACGAGCTCTGATTAATGTAACACACGTCACAACTTCCTCCTGGTATCTGCTCCCAAACATCTACAGTAACCAGCCTCCGGTTAGCAATGCTAAGCTAACTAGCTTCAATTCTACCGACTCCGGCCTGGTTAGCAATGCTAAGCTAACTAGCTTAGTTTATTCTTCGATTCTCGGTCTTCATGAATAAAACGCGTCGTCGCGTTTCCCTGTGCACGAATGGCATACTCTGAATTATACTGCGTTTTTTTAACAAATGTCTCCGTCCAAACTGACAACTGCGAGCAGCTAACAAGCAGGTAGCAGGAGCTGCTCTTGTTTGGGTCCAAGCGAGTACTTCCGGTTCACAGTTCAGTCCAGCCTGCCACGTAACTGCGAAACGCGGAGGAAGATTCTTATTTTTTATTCTTTTTGGTCAAAAAACAAACAAAAGTATTTCATATTAATAAAACTGATACACTTCCAAAGATATTTCGAAGAGTTTCAACGCAGCTGCTGTCAGAGATCCAACATAGTTTCAGTAATCTAAGATAAAAAGCAGACATTTTGAAAGATAACTAAGATGAAAGGTTAAAACCGCCACTTCCGCAATATGGTGGCCATGGTAACCACACACCTGTGACTGCCAAGTAAATGAGAGGTAGACAGAAAAACAAGACTGAAAAATAAACCTCATTTAATTTTTCGTCGTGTGACAACTACAAAACAGATGTTTTTTTCTTGAACTGTATAAGACTGATGGTCACACTTGAATTTTCATGTTTCTTCATTGTTTTATGCAGGATCCAATTGTAGAGAGAACATTTTGATCTGAAATATAATTTGAATCTATTGAAGTTTTGGTCCGCACATTCTGCATTTTGGAGTTGGAGAGAAAGCTACAAGTTCAACAGCGTCAAGTCACACTGGGTTAAAGAAAACAAATACCTATATTATAATATGTCCTTTATGATTTGTATGCGTTCCAAAATGTGTTGGAGTAAAGCGTTTGAAAGAGATTTTTTAAATTTTAGACAAACATTTAAAACAGTAGTGCTAAATCAACTGTCAGATGATTTTCTGTGGAAAAATCTAAAATAAACTTAACCTGTTAACCTAAATAAAACTTTAAAGATCTGAAAACAGTAGTTCAATTACGTGAAGTACAACTTTTTTTGACCTGTTTAAACTTTGTTTTTGTTGTGAAGTCTGACACATGGAGCTCCAAACAGGTTGGGCTTTTGGCGGCGACTCACCAAAATCCCATAAAAATAACAGGCTTTTTTTTTTTTTTAATTCTTGTCATTGTCGTTTTTCGTGTGTGATGTACCTCTACCAGTATTCAGCGTGCACTATTCTAAATCAGATGCACATTTAGTTGTATAAATTGCCTGTTTTTGTTTTTAAAAGCTGCACAATACAGAATAAACATTGAACATCATAAAAGCCAGGTTTGTTGCTTACGCATTGGCATTAAGGTCATTTAATGTTTATAAAAATGTGACATTTTGTTTGTGTAAACAAAATCCCATTTATATTTACTCTTGACAGTAAATGCAAAATCTGGAAGGATGTAAAATCATCTTTACAAACGTTTGCATGTTTCCTTTATGCACTCATTGCTTGATTTTAAACTGAAAGTCTATTTTCAGCAAAGGTGGAAAATATTGTTGTAATCTGTCCATCATAGTAAAATCAAGTTGTTTATTTATATCCTTCACTAATGTTCTTCTCATTATAAACAGTTCCTAAAACAAACAGTAAAACGTAAGAGGTCACAATATTTAATTCCAGCGAGTTGAAATCTGTAAACTCAGATGTTTTCACTCTGAAATCAGTGGTTTAATCTTCCAGATTAAGCTGCTATCAGATTTGCACGTCTCCTCAGACGTCACAGATGTCTTCTAACTGATCGCTCAGACAACTTATCAAACCCAAGGCCTTAGATGGAGTCATAATGACCGTCTTCTCACAGAAGAGCAGCAACAGCTCCTTCACACCAGAGAAATGAACAAGAAACATTTAACAGGCTTATTTTTAAAAAAAGCATGTTTATTAGTCCTCGTATCAGAGCAGTGCCTCCACAAAACAGCAGTAAATCAAAGCAGAACGTCCATGCTCATCCTTCTTTAACGATGTCAACAGAAGGGAAATATACACTCAACAATGCAACAACTCGGACCTTTTCACACAAACGCACATACACACACAGGGCAGCTGTCCTGGAATGGAGGGGTGTTTACAGTCTGAAGGAGCACAAAACTCCAGCTGGCAGATCACTCAGAGTTTCTCATCTTTATTTCACCAGTCCGATCTTCTTGGCTTCCGTTTCGTAAATCAGTAACCTCCACATTTTTACGATGAACACCTCCGCTTCTTCATCAAGAACCTGGAACACAAACACATCCATTCACTCAAACCCAAGGACTTATCTGAAAGACAGCAGCCGACGTGTTGTTCCATGAAGTGAGATCATTTCAGATAAACGTGTTTTCGTTTGGTTCTGAAGGCAAAGCGGCTCTTGGTTAGTTCCAGAGGATACAGGGCTGGAAACCTTGAGCCGTGTCTCCCTTTCTAGTTTTAAAACTTCTTGGGACCACTAAGAAACCCTGTCCACATGGGAACGGGGTTTTGTGGATACACAAAGGTTTGTATAGTTTCAGCCATGTGTCCACATGGAAACTGTTTAAAACGTTGTCCTTGAAACAAGTTTCAGAGAAAATTCTTCACTGCCACTGTGGACAGTCTAGATGTTTAAACCACGGTGTTCTAGTTCCACCTCCTGCCTATGAGCCCAAACCTGACGGAAGGAACAACAGTGATGGACTACAAGCTTCTGTTTGTGTTGGAGACACCGGTTTCTCAAAAACCTTCATTTCCTGAGCTGCTTCGATGAACAGACAAGCAGATGAACAATAACAGCCGAGCAAACCCTCCTGTTATTGCACCAAATAATCTATGATCAAAAAGGTTTTTATCCATTGATGAACTGCCAACACACACACACAAAAAAAGAAAACGTTATAGAAGAAACTTGAATACACAAGAGTACATTAAAAACATGAATATTTTTGAAAGACTGACATCATCCCAAATCACTCGAGGAAACTATAAGAAATATAAAAAAGCATAGTATCCTCAAATGACGGCCAGTTAACATAAATATAAGATGGTGGCTTTAATTTTTTTATTTTATTATATGAATTTGCATCTTTGTTAAGAAAATAGTTGTATTTGTATAGATAAAAAGATAAAATTTGAGTAGATAAAAAGGTACACATTATCTTATTTTACTCAGTTATGCATAAATTTCTCTGTTTTGTACCTTATTTAGTTTAATTTATTTTTTCTTTAATATAAATTGAGATTATGATTGTGAAGATCATTATATGCAATGTTATTTGTTTGAAAAAAATATATATATATAAGATGGTGGCCATCTTGGATTTTGACAGGGCAGCCCAGTTTTCAATACTGAACTTTCTTATGACTACATGCAACCCCATACCAAAATGGAAGCTGAGACGTTGCTTATTTTTCAAGTTATCAAGCTCACAAGACCGACAGAGACCGTCATGGTTCTGCAACTAGTCACGATTGAGTCTGATAATCTGACTTAGTCCAGGCTGAAGCTGAAGCTTTGATGAAGGTATGATTGTCTCGTACCTTCATCAAACCACTGACATACCCGTCTCCTTCAGTAAATAAATCTGGAAACCACATGTTTGTGCTAATTATTATGAGGCAGAGCGCAGGATGAACGATATTTAACCTCCAACGTGCTTACAGGAGCAGGTCAGTCTGTCGTTTATTAAGTTGTTATCAGCAATCACTTTTTGACAGGTTTACACACAGAGACCGTTTCCACAGAGCTTCACTTCTTCCATACATTCTTATACTACAGCTTTATTCTATCCATCATTCCATCCATCCATCACTCCATTCATTCATCCATCTATCACTCCATTCATTCATCCATCCATCACTCCATTCATTCATCCATCCATCCATCACTCCATTCATTCATCCATCACTCCATTCATTCATCCATCACTCCATTCATTCATCCATCACTCCATTCATTCATCCATCCATCATTCCATTCATTCATCCGTCCATCACTCCATTCATTCATCCATCCATCACTCCAT